TACCCCAGGACTTAAAGTTAGGCTGCCTGAGTTTGAATCCAGCTCGTACTGGCTATGTGACCTTGGGCAAGCTAATTGTGAACCCCCGTTTTATTTTCCAAAATAGGAATAGTGGCAGCTACTTCACAGGAATGAGAATCGAATCAATATATTAAAGCCCCTGGCAAGCCGTAAATGTAGTTATCATTAGATCTTCACTACTCCCCCTTCAACAAAGTTAAGAACTTTCTCATTTGCACTTTATCTTAAGTTCCTCATTACAATGATGGGTCTCAGGGCAAAAACTTTCTCCTTTTCTCTGCCAACATTCATCTTGTTATCCTCTGCCAACACAATCTATGTCACATTTTTACCTAAAATAACTATCAACAAATGTAGAATGTGTTCAAGCTAAATGCTGTGCAGGTACAAAAGAAAATATAGATATCTGGACCAAGTCTTGAAAGATAAATCAAGTTTCAAGTGGAAAAAAAAAAGGGGGGGATAAGGAAAAGAATAAACTATTCCACAACACCGAAAAGCATGCATAAAGCAGGCATTAAAGTGTAGACAACCCTGGTGGGATAGCTCAGTTGGTTCAAGCGCCATCCAGACACGCCAGGGTGAGGGTTCGATCCCAGGTCAGGGCACCTACAAGAATCAACCGCCGAAACTGGTTTGGCTCAGTGGTAGAGCGTCAGTCTGCGGACTGAAGGGTCCCGGGTTCGATTCCAGTCAAGGGCACGTTCACTGGTTGTGGGCACATCCCCAGTGGAGGGTGTGCAGGAGGCAGCTGGTCGATGTTTCTCTCTCATCAATGTTTCTAGCTCTCTCTCTCTCTCCCTTCCTCTGTGTAAAAAATCAATAAAATATATTAAAAAAAAAAGAAAAAAAAAATCAACCAATGGCCGAAACTGGTTTGCCTCAGTGGATAGAGCGTCATTCAGTCCCAGGTTCGATTCTGGTCAAGGACATGTACCTTGGATGTGGGGTGTGCAGGAGGCAGCTGATCGATGTTTCTCATCGATGTTTCTAACTCTGTCCCTTTCCTCTCTGTGAAAAAAATCAATAAAACATATTTAAAAAAAAAAAATCAACCAATGAATGCATAAATAAGTAGAACAACAAAAATCAATATTTCTCTACATCTCCTTTCCTCTCTCTAAAACCAGTAAGAAAACAAAAATACAATCAATAAAAAATTTTAAAAAATCTAGACAAAAACAAGAAAGTGCAGTCATAGCTGTTTTGGCTCAGTGGACAGAGTGTCAGCCTATGGATTGAATGGTCCTGGGTTCGATTTCTATCAAGGGCACATACCCAGGTTTCGGACTTGGTTCCCATTAGGGAGCGTGCAGGAGGCAGCCAATCAATGGTTCTCTCTCATCAGTGATGTTTCTGTTTCTCTCTCTCTCTCCCTTCCTCTCCGAAATCAATAAAAATATGTTAAAAACAAAAACAAAAAACATTAAAGTACAGAGAAATATGCTTGGGCAGTGACAAGTAGATGAGACTGTGCCTAGAGTGTATGTACTGGAGGGACATACTGAGAAATGAAGCCAGCCTTAAAGGGTTATGAATGGTGTTTAATGCTAGCCTAAGGAGTTTGGATCTTGTTGCAACAAGAATTGGGTCCACGTTTTTGGCTAGTGGTGCTATGTGATTTAATTATTTTCGTTAAGTAACTAGAAGTAATGTGAAGGCTGGATTGAAAAGTAATGACTGTAGACAGACCAATGACAGGTACTGCCACAATCCAGGCAAGAAATAGCAGAGACCTTCATTGGGGCCATGCAAATGAAAGATAGGACACACATTTGGAAGATAGGATACACAACATTTCAGAGGTGAAATTAGCTTGCCACAGTGACTGTTCTGATATGGGGATGGAGGATATGGTTCAGATTTCTTGCCTGCGTGATTGGAAAATGGTAACATTATGAAGAAATATAGAGGGAGGAACAAAGCTAGGAGTCCAGGAGAGGTGCAGATACTCCACCTGAAGTAATTTTGAAACAATAAACATATTATTTAAATTCAAATCAAGTGCTAAGAGAATTATGTCATCACACAGACATACACTGCTTTTATTTAACAAGCACATTAGAGCAAATGTTTCAAGTTCAAAGAGCTCATTTCTTTACTATATAATGTTAAATTTAAAAGGCCTTCATTTGTGAAAAATCAAAAATCCCCTATTATGTAGAGCTGTGGCTAAAAAAAATTCATGTGGCCAATTATTTTTATTATTGTGTTATTTTTAAAGTTTTTTTTTGAGTTTCTACAAAATAATATTTTTTTATGACTGTAAGATTCTCTTCTATTTCAAATATCATGATGAAAATTCAAGGCTGCTTAAAAATATATTTAAAAACTTTAATTTTGCTTACTTGCAGCTTTGTATGAAATGCTTACATTATTATTTTTGAATCTGTGATGTCCCCTCTGCAATTTGCATCAAATATGCACTTCATGCTTTTTTTCTATCAAGACTATTAAAAGGCTGAACAAGGTAATCCAAACCATAGGTGCAATGTCTAAAAATTCTGGTTATGGTAATCTATTTCTATCAGAACAAGTACAACATAAAGAAATTTAAAAGGCTACATAGTTCTATTCCTGAAATGAGGAAACAGTAGGGTAACTTTATGTAGCTATAATCAAACTTCAGTGTACAATGGAATATTCTTGGGTTCTTGTTTAAAAAGTAGTTTTCTGTCCTTCTCCCCCCTCAAGAGACTGACTTATGAGGGCACAGAATCAGAAACTTGTTTTTCAAACACCCTTGGCGATTCTGATGCAAGTGTTTCAGGGCCACTTTGAGAAATACATGCACTGTATCTGATGTCAGAAACATGGGCTTGAAGTCCCCCTCTCTCCCTCCTATCCTGGCCATGTGACCTGAGACTACTTACTTTCTCTAAGGTTCAGATTTCTCATCCGTAAAAGGGGAATACTAAACGCTTCACAAGGATAAATGAGATAATATAATGAGACAATGCCTCGACAAGTGCTTTAACACAGTACCCAACTATTATTATTATTGTTATGATTTATCAATTCCACAGGACAAAAATAAGAAAGAACTGGACATACATCCATATTCATCATGGCATTATAAGTGCTTTCTAATTCATGGTAATGTTTTTCTATTTTCATCTACAAGATTCTACGAGAGCCTCTTGGTCAGGCATGCTCTTTGTCCTCCTCTACCTTTAATTTTATAATACATGAAAAAAGTTTTGGACACATTACTTAAGTGGTTCCAGTTCTATAAGCAAATCTTACCAAAGGCTAAAAAGCCGGGAACACAAATACACACTGGAAAATACTAATATAAATACTAAAAAATTGAAACTTTTACTGAACATTAGTCAGATTTTTACAAGGAAACAAATTGTTTGCTTTTCCTGGTAGACCACAAAACTATGATGAAGTTGTTATCTAAAAGGCCATATACTTTATTTATTTTTTTTTATTTTAAAAAAATATATTTTATTGATTTTTCACAGAGAGGAAGGGAGAGAGATAGAGCGCCAGAAACGTCGATGAGAGAGAAACATCGACCAGTTGCCTCTTGCACACCCCGTACCGGGGATGTGCCTGCAACCAACGTACATGCCCTTGACTGGAATCGAACCTGGGACCTTTCAGTCCGCAGACCGACGCTCTACCACTGAGCCAAACCGGTTTCGGCAAGGCCATATACTTTATCTTTGAAAACAGTCCCATAGGGAACATGCCAGGGTTGCAGGCTCCATCCCCAGCAGGGGGCGTGCAGGAGGCAGCCAATGAATATTTGATGCATAGATGTTTCCATCTTTCTCCCTCCTCTCCCTTCCCCTGCTCTAAAATAAAAACATATGAACATATTTTAAAAAATCCAATATATAAGTGGTCATCTAACTCCACAATCTTATCCTAGAAGACACATATACACATTTACACACACATTTTAAAATTAGTCAAACTTCAACTTTTAGAAATAACCAGAAATCCTACATGAGGCTTTTGCACTAAAAGTTTTAAATGCATCTTTTGTGTAAACTGAGCAATTTATTAATTCATCTATCAAAAGAATGCAGCACCTTCTGCATTTCTTATCATTCAAAAGCTTTATAAAGGTCATCAGCGAATGCTACCTACTATTAAAAAAAACCAGTAATATTCTAAAAAAAACTTTATCACCTGCCAAAAATCGACTAACAGATGTGTCTCTCACATTACCTAAGATGAATAAGTAAAGTCAAAATGGAAATCTAAAGTGCAGGCTCTGTCAAATGCGAATGAACTGCGGAACCTTGCTGAGTTGCAATCATCATATAATCAATGTTTTTCAAGTGTTCCCTTGTACAAGGCACTATAAAGATTACCACCCAAGGTCCTTTCTGAAGCGGAATGCAATTCACTTCAAAACAAGGTTAACTTTGAAAAGGGTGCATTTTTTTGGGGGGGGGGGGGGGATAGGGCATTAAGAAAAGCGCTTACAAGCACTTTGCAAAATCTGGTAGGGTAGTGGAAGAGAGTTAAGATTCGGTGATTGAAGCATCTCTCGCAAAGAATGATTTAGAACGAGCCCGTACTGTTTGTTCCCTTTCTTAGGGAGAAAGGAGGGTGGGCGGGAGCGGGTTTGAGAGGTCCACCCGGGGAAAAGGGGGGTGCCGCCGGGAAGGTCTGAGCATGGGTTTTCATAGCCCCCCAAAGTGGCGGGGGGAGGGGGTCCAGCTCCGACCCCCAATGCCTCACCCGCGCCCCGGCCCGGGAGGGGGGAGGCCCGCCCGCCGCAGGGTCCGCGTCGGGGCGGGGACGGACGGGGCGGCCCGTCCCTAGGAAATCAGGACCGGGCGTCCCCGAGGGAGGAAGGGCTGCAGAAGGGCGGGGCGGGGCGCGGGCGGCCAGGAGACTGAGAGGAGGCCGGCGAGGGAGGGGTGGCCGGCGCGCGGCCCGGGACCCTTCCGCGGCCCGCGGCCCGGGGCCCCGCGGGGGAGGGAGGGTCCCGCGAACCAGGAGGTAGAACTTACTCCGCGGTCCTCCTCCGAGAGGAAGTCGGGGCCGTCGTCCAGGCCTTCCTGCGGGGTCGGAGGGGCCCGGCGCGCCCGGGGGAAGGGCGGAGTGAGGGAGACACAAAGGGAGACATTAGTGCCAGGCCGGCGGGGGGCCCCCCCAAGCCCGCCCCGCGCCCACGGCCCCCACCGCGCGCCGGGGGCTCGGCGCCGCTAGAGAACACCCACCATCATGGCTGCTCCGAGGCGAGGGCTGGCGCAGGCGCGCTCCGCACCGCCGGCCGGAGGGAGCCCACGGCGGCGGGAGGGGCGGGGCTAGTGAGGGGCGTGTCCTCCTGCAGCCCCGCCCACCGGCGCAGGGGCTGGGGTCTGCGAGCCGGGAGGAAGGGAGGCGGGGCTTCCTGCAGGAGTCGGCGCCCCCGCAGGCCTAGGCTCGCTGCGGAGGAGGGAACGGCTGGAGGACGGCGGGCTCCGGACCGGGAAGGGCCGGAGGCCCCGTGGGGAGCTGTCCAGTTCCCTTTCCCTGAGGCCTGTGGCCCAAAACCAAGCCAGCGCCCTCCGCCCTCCGGAAGCCGCAATAAGTCATCCAATCTTTGTCTTGTGCCTCAGGATAATTAATTATCACAGTTAATATTTTGCGGGAGAAGTTGTGGGAACCAAGGGCTTTAACACAGTGAGCAGTCAGGCTGTAATCAAGTTTTTACTGCCGGCCAGGTAATAAATGACTGTCTGAGAGGCTGGGCGCTGATGGCTGAGCACTGTAAAAACGAGCGCTCCTTTCCTCACGCCCAGCAATGCCCCACACCTACTGCCGCTGTCCCGCTGTGTGGACTCACACGGCAAAACCATTCCTTAACATCGGACCATTTTACATATATGCACACACACCAGCAATCCTGTGCTTCCACTCAGTTAATGGCGTCTTTAGATGTTAAAGCTAGAAATCTCAAAAGGTCCAATTCAGATCCTGCCTCTCCTTCATCACACCATCTAGGTACCGAATGCTATTGTTTCTGTAATTGATCATCTGCTGTTACTTAAACTGGTCCCATTTCTCCCCACAAAGCTCTTCCACAGCAATTACCCTCGGCATATCTCCTTTGGATCTTTGCAAAAATTCTCTTAACTTTTAAAAAAAAATTTATTTCCATATTCTTTCCTCCATTCTATTATACACACTGCTGCTAGTTTTCTCCTTAGATACAAATGCTATTGATGATTACACGACTGCCCTGTTCAATAATCTTTACAAGTCTCCATAGGGCCCTCCACATTTTCTTTTCTCTTTTTTTGCCAGGCCCCTTGTTCTATCCTATTGAATGGAAGCTCTCAAAAGAATATTAAATGTACTAATTCTTTCATGAGAATTTTTAGCTTTTATTTTGTATATAAGGAGAAATGAGGTATAGAGAGATTAAGTTACTGCCCCAAAAGGGTTATTTTCCAATATAAGGGGGATGACTTTATTTTTTTTGTCTTTTGTTTATTGTTACCCGGTGCATTGTAGTAAGTACTAGAGTAGTGTTTTCCATTGGGTGTCACAAAGCATCTTTCAGAATCGGTGTAGTGTGAGGAAATGTCAGAAGGAATGTTCTAGTAATTTGTTGCTTATAAAAAATGCCACTATGTCCTAATGACCTATTTCTGGTTTGAAGATAATGCCTACAAAGCTCCACTTCCTGGATGGAGAGAGAAGAGTGGTGTTACATTACTGTGTACAAATGATAGGAGGGTCAGAGTGTCCTTGTGGACAAAGGTCAAGAAGGGTCACATAGGACCACCTCAAAGGCCTCTCTGATAATGAAGTAAGGGCTTTAAATTTCAATTTTTAAGCTATGTCCAAAAACATCTCCCAGAAACATTGAAAATCCCAAATGCTAAATTTAAAAATTACTAGTTATGAAAAAGGACACAATTTAAAATGTGTAGCCAACTAAAATGATCTAATAAGTCATATAGTAGTTGCTGCCATTAAAATCAATAGCTGAAAACTCATGAGTAGAGACCCCAACCTTGAAATAATTAAGTTGTTCATTAATACCTGAGCCTTCCTTTCTGAGCAAAGGTCTCAAGCTATCTTTTCTGAATTCTAAAAAGGAAGCATCAGTAACTAATACTAACAGCTGTCAAAAAGCCAGTTACAATTAAGGAATATCAAAAGAAAAGAAATTGATCTAAGCTCACATAACAGATTTTTCTACTACTTATAAAATAAAACAAGAAGATATTAAAGCTGAACGACTCCTCTGACTCTTTTAACCAAATAATCAATTTTTATCTTGTTTTGATAGATTTCTATAAAGTTACTTACTTTCATATAAATTTTAAAAGCAAAGTATTTTGACTTACTTCAAAGATTTAGCTACATGAACATAAAATGCTATAATTGCAAATAGTTTACCAACAGTATGCTTCAAAAACAAATGTATTGGGTTTGGCTCAGTGGATAGATCGTCAGCCTGTGGACTGAAGGGTCCCAGGTTCGATTACGGTCAAGGGCAAGTTTGAAATAGTAATTATTTAATTACATGAAGAGGAAAACTTTTTTATCATGTTCTGATCAAAGAAGTTTTCACCAAGACATATTTTTATCAGTTCCTCACATTCTCAAACTCTAGGAGACCCTATTCTGTTTTGGATGACCTTGGGTCCTAATTTTTCTTCCTTCTTCCTGGGAGTTATGCTACAAAATTCTCTACAGGAAGATCACAGAACTCCATTTTTTCTAGGATGTGCTATATTATTTAGGATGCCTAATGTCAAGTAACAAAAGAGTCGATTCAAATAAACTTGAGCAGTAAGGAAATTTATTATCCTATATAATAAAACCTTAATGTGTAAATCAACTAAATGGCGGAATGAACGGTCGCTGTGATGTGACTGACCACTAGGGTGCAGATGCTCAATGCAGGAGCTTCTCCCTGATGGTCAGTGTGCTCCCACAGGGGGAGTGCTGTTGAGCCAGAAGCCAGGCTCATGGCTGGTGAGCTCAGTGGCAGTGGCAGTGGCAGTGGCAGGAGTCTCTCTCGCCTCTGCAGAAGTGCTAAGGAGCAGCGAGCCAAGCAGTAAGGAGTAGCGAGCAGGTGGGTGGTATGGAGCGGGGTGTCCTGGACTGCCAGAGGGATGTCTGACTGCCAGCTTAGGCCTGATCCAGGATTGGGCCCAAGCTAGCAGGTGAATATCCCCTGAGGGCACAGGCTGGGCTGAGGGGACCACCCTCCTACCCCTCCAGTGCACCAGGCCTCTAGTCTCACAATAAGAAAGTAAAAAAAAAATAAGAAGTCTATGGGAATATTACAATCAGTAGCTTCCTGGTGCCATCAAAGACCTAGATGTCTTCCAACTCTCCAATCTGCTATCTTCAGTGACCACCTCATTCTAAAGCTGATATTCCTCATGATCCAGGATAACTATGGCAACTTTAGGTTTCACATCCTAGCTAATAAAGACAGAATATGCAAATTGACCATAATTCTGCAACAAAGATGGTGGCACCCACAGCCAATAAGGAGGGAATATGAAAATTGACACCTCAAGGGGAGAGGTGGAAGGCAGGCAGAAAGGCAGCTTCAGCTGGAGCAAAGGCGGTGCTGGCAGCCAAGGGAAGGAATGCCTATTCTTGCACAAATCTTCATGCATTGGGCCTCTAGTTTGGACATAATATCCACAAGTAGAAAAAAAAATTGCTTAGAAAACTTCCATCTCTCCTGTAGACCTTTCATATTTCAGTCTAATACTGGATCTCATGCTCACCTTTAAAGGGGACTCGTTATAAATAAGATTAGTTTAGAGCAGCAATTTTCAAGTGATATGCTATAAGAATTTAAAAAACATGCAATACCTGAGTTTTCAGTCAGGGGCTCTGACGTCTTTTCCCTTAGATTGTCAAATGAAAAAACGGAGACAACCAGCATAACACTAGCCATCCGGTGACTTTATTAATTAGTTTATGTGCGCCATGAGATGGGAAAGGTTGAAAATAGTTGGCTTAGAGTCTAAACCTTAGACCAGTCAGGAATTATTGCTGGGATTGGGACGGGGGCTAGCTTCCCCAAACCACAATGCTTCTTGGAAGAATGTGAACACCTGCGTAAAACTGGAGATTCCAGGAAGGAGACAAAGGGAAATGGATGTGGGTGAAAAAGCCATCAGTGTCTCTATAATAGTAATCAACAAAGACATGTTCTCTAACACTAAATCTGTTAGGTACAATGCAAAATGAATCACTGATAATCCACTAGTTAAAGATAATCATCTGTTGCTATTTTTTTCTTTTAAATCTGAGAAAGCTTGTTTATTTTTCTTGCTTTAATGGAACAACATATTCCATCAAATTATCCAAGGAAATCCAGATAATTATCTATTTCTTCAAGGTTTTAAATATATTTTAAAAGACCACAGAAGGATAAACATTATCCCACTTTCTCCCTCTATACATAAGGAATTCAAATACAGAAATAAGCTGCAGTGCTGAGGTAACATTGCAACTTTCTTCCAACATGACTACTAGATGCTTAAGGTTAAATATGAATATTGCTGTGAGGTTTCAAGTTACTTGATGAACCAATATTACGTCTCATTTAGACCAAAAGCAGGACATTTAGACCAAATGCACCTCAAAGGAATATTTTCAATATATGAATATGTGTGTGTGTGTGTGTGTGTGTGTGTGTGTGTAAGGAAAGGTTGATTGAACCACACTGATAACAGAAAGTTAGAAGCCAGCCAAAACCGATTTGGCTCAGTGGATAGAACCTGAAGACTGAAGGTCCCAGGTTCGATTCCAGTCAAGGACATGTACCTTGGTTGCGGGCACATCTCCGGTAGGGGGTGTGCAGGAAGCAGCTGGTCGATGTTTCTCTCTCATCGATGTTTCTAGCTCTCTATCCCTCTCCCTTCCTCTCTGTGAAAAACCAATAATATATATATATATAAAAGAAAGTTAGAAGCCAGCCATTGTTGGAAATACAGAAACATACATAGTCCTTGTGCTCAAAATCTTCAGGGGAATTTCTTCTGTAATTTCATCCATTTGCGACTCATTGAGAAATAGCTTTAGCATCCTGCTGCGAAGGGCAAATATTTTGGCTGCTTCACAAGAAGACCTTCCTAGGTGAGTGCATTCTGCCCAGGTGGGTTTCCAGCAGGAGGGTGCCCACTGTTCCCAGTAAACACTCTTGTGGGTTTGCATCCAGGAGCCGTAGCTGATATGCTGGCAGAGAAGAGTACTAGGA